GTTCGGTATCCACCTATATTACAACTTGCATTCGCGTGTGTTTATGTGCGACCACAACAAAACCTTCAGGCCATCGACGTTCAGTGACACATATTTATGTTATTGTGTCATAGACTTTGTTTTGTTACAAAGTTTAATCTGCACGTTTCATGGTGACATGTGCATCTCTTCCCGGTAATTTTATGGAGTAAAGGACATGTTTTGCAAACATGTATGGCTTGAATTAACACTTCAAATCATGCTAGCTTGGGAAATAACTAATTTCTTATTACTTTAAGATCGCATTTAATGACTAATCAGAATTATATTCTGCCATGGTAGATTTGCAGGGATTTCGTACATCGAAAACGCAAAATAATCCTTCCATTTATCAACGCATTTGCAGTTTAGTAAATATTCGCATGATAAATATTTTTTATCGGCAAAATCATTTAATTAATTGAATGAACATTTCAAAACATTTTACGAAGCGATTGAGGCTAACTTTTACATCAATTTCAAAAATACATTAATAATTCATGACGAACTACACAAGGAACAATCATAAGCGTGTCGTATATTTATACGTGATAGAGATTTCCCTTGGTTTACTTAAACTTTAACTATAATTTTTATACTATGATTTTTATACCAAATACTATGCTATCGAATGAGAAATAAAGTACTTGATAATTTTATCAGAACAACTCACTTGCAAGGCAATCTTACATAAATTCATTAGTATGGAAAATGACCTAACAGCTACAATAATCATATATCATATATGGATGGATCAATGGCACACAATTTGTGTGCCATGACACAATGTACAAAATTAAACTTGTGGTACCTTCTAGTTCTACTCAAACTGATTTTCTTTCAAAACACAAATTGTTTTTGTGTGGATATGCTGTGTTAAATCGAACAGTGTGGTATATCATTAACTGTGCACACGACTGGTATTGTTTCATATACTTCAGTCATGACCTTTAAAACGTTCTTTACTATTCAGTGGTTTTTGATATATGATTGCCTTCTTTGCTACAGTAATGCAATGTTACTCAAATAGTTTGTGAATGTTACTCAACAGTTAACATCGGCAAGTGTAAACAGCAAGTGGCAGAATTATTGCCTCGTATGATTGCAATAACATTTTGCATGAAATTTTTATTTCCTGGCAACATAATAATGCGTTACAATCAGGGGCGGACTGGCTACCTCAAGGAGGCCCGGGCGACTTGGGTAGATGGGGGCCCAAACACCCCTCCCCCGCGCCACCAAAAAAATTACCTTATCCTATTTTAATTTCTAACCCTGTTTTCCACTAGGCGGAATTTTGCGCGCGGAGCGGAATTTTTCTTTGTCTTTTCTAATTAGTTCCACCCGAGAAATCATAAGACAAAGAAAAATTCCGCTCCGCGCGCAAATTCCGCCTAGTGGAAAACGGGCTCTAGCAGGCACTTTTATCATTAGTCATCTTCAAAAATGTCATTGGTTTATAAAAGTAACTTACGCAAATGAGTTATAAATGAAATATAATTTTTGTTCTTAACGTCTAAATGGAGAACGAAAGGAAATTATTGTCTACTCTTCAATGTCTTCATGGCATTAGCCGTCTCAGTGCTAAGGAACTGTTGGCAAACTGGTTGATGATCTGTTCATTTGATTTGTCATTGATCATCTACTTATCCATGTACGTCAGCATAAGTGCCTCTAATTTTTCCTGCCTAATGTTGCTTCTTAATATAAATTTAAGCGTCAAGAAACTTCATTCGCATTTGACTTGCGTTGCACTAAGCGGTACTAAATACTGATAAGCTTCATATAGTTTGGAATACGTAGATAAGTTGAGTTGAAAATCGCAGCTGCAACCTGACCTGCAAAACTTATTTCTGCATGAATTGGGTCAATATGATTTCCAATCTTTTCACAATTAAAGACTCCAATGCATTTTGAGGCAGCCTCTATTGGCAAGGGTCCAAACAGGAAACATCTTAGTAAAGTCTTTGTGGTTCTCAAATCTACTATTGGTGCTTGTTACAATTTGATCCATTACGACATTGAATACATTCATTTGATAGTCCTCGTGAGCATCCATAGCCCTGTTTTCAATGTCATCCTTTTCACCGAAATGTAGTTTCCTTTTTCGAATTATTTTTGTCGCTTTGGATAGTAGACTTTCTTCTACTGCAACATTGGTATCAAAGCACACCCGTTTGCTCTTGGCTTCTTTGCGAACTGCCTGTGGAAATATTCAGGACAGTTGGAAAATCTCTGCTGATCATTTCACGTTTTCCAATAGCAGATTGAACCATTCTCAATGCTTGAAGAAGATTTAAGCCTCACCTTTGAAGGCATTCGGAGAGTGGTGTTGTAAAGTTGCCCGGTTGCCAAGATTTCAAAGCAAAATTTTAGGCAGAGGATTGCACGGGGCCTATAAGATACTAACATGCAGTGTCGCCCCATCGATTTTTTTAGTATATAACTATATTTTATATATATATATTTTATATATGTATATTTTAGTATATGTATATTTTAGTATATATTTATATTGCTTTAAATTGCAAATTTGCGCACTGACCCGAGAATATCTTCGAGTTAATCACGCTTCTCTGCACCTGAAAACGCCCACTTATCCCGTTTTGCGTTTTGGCGCCCCCCCCCCCAAAAAAAAAGCCATCCCTTAGTATCTTTTTGTGTATATTTAAAAGAAAAATACTAGGGAGAAAAGATCGCCGGGGCCCTTAGTCGGGCGAGAAAAGTGATTGAAGCGTGTTTCCTGCTTTACATGCTTATGATTTGGTGCTGCTAGCAATTTATTTAAATGACATTTAAGCCAATTTTAAGCGGCCCAAAACGGCCTTACAAGCATGGGTTCCACCGGGCGTTTGCCCGGTGAGCCCGACCTGCGAATCCGCCCCTGGTTACAATCACAATCGCGTTATAATATTAGTTAAATTTCTTGGTGGGGGCGTTGGTTCGGTGAGGACGTTGGGTCGGTGGGGGATCCCAGCTGTGTACAGCCCTGTTAGATGTGTATTATGTTTGATGTGTATTATGTGTATACAATCCCAGCTGTGTACAGCCCTGTTAGATGTGTATTATGTTTGACTTTGAAATAAATCTTATTTGCTATTTTATTTATAATAAGTGATGAAATATTTCAATTGCCCCATGTCATCTTTACTATTCAGTTCCTTTCAAGAGTTAATAGAAAATGTGATTCAAGTTTTTTCGCAGATACATGTACGTGTCGCGTACCTATCTTTTCGACTTACACAACAAATGTCTTCAAATTACGTCGCCAATGAACTTACTAGATCTATTGTTTTTGAAGCAATTTAAAACATTCGCAGTGCGTGTTTTATTTTACATCTGATAGAACACTGATGCTCGTAGAAAGCTCACAAATGCAAAATAACATACTGTATACGTTCACTACGTATTTCAGAATTTTTTTTATTTTTTTAAAATTTTTTTTATATTTTTCGCCCAAAATATTACATTATATAATACAGATGAATATATATAATTATGTTTTTAATTATATTTCAAAAACATGTTATATTGTTAAATCTAGTTGTAAAAAGTACTTTTTAATTATTGATTTGAAGGAAGCATAACACCTAGGTTCTTTATTTTTTGTGGGAGGATTATTCCACACATCTATGCCTTTATTGGGAAGAGTATGTTTGGCATGGTTTGTTCTATTACTCCTTTTGTGTAGCAACGAATAATTTCTTGTGTTATGATTATGAATTTGCTTATTTGTCAAAAAATAGTTTATAAATAATTCTGGTAGATTCTGTAGATGAAAATACCGGACAATGAATATACTCGTTAAATAATAATTTATTTTATATAAATTGAGAATTTGTAAGTCATTAAAAATTGGTTCTGAATGATCGAAATAAGATTTGAAAGTCATTAATCTGACAATCTTTTTTTGAATATTCACTAACTTTTGAAAACGTAATTTATAGGTGTTACCCCAGAGTAAATTACCATAAGTTAGATATGGATAGACCAAAGCATAATATATTAGCTTCAAGGAATTGAGGTTTGTGAAATGTCGAATCCTGGAAATATTTGCCGCACATTTGATAATTTTTTTCGTAATCAAATCCAAGTGATTACTCCATGTCAGAAATTGGTCAAGAACATTTCCTAGAAATATAATGTGATGTTTTTGACTTGTCTTATACTGTTATTATTGATTGAAATGTTTATTGAACCATTGAGTTTCTTATTTTTTATCTAAAAAGAATAAATTTTGTTTTTTCAGTGTTTATAGATAGCTTATTGGCATTCAACCAATCTGTAATTTCATTAATTTCATTTTGAATAATTTCATTCAACTTTTTAAGACAAGTATGACTATAAAGAATGTTTGTATCATCAGCAAATAAAACAATGGAAATCAGTTCACTGCAGTATTGAATATCATTTATGTATAAAATAAACAATAAAGGACCCAACACTGATCCCTGTGGGATACCGCTTAAAATAGTCATTTCCTCTGATTGCACTCCATTATATTTGACTATTTGTTTTCTATTGTGTAAGTAATTTTCAAACCATTCTTTGGCCACTCCCCTGATACCATAATGTTCCAATTTCTTTATCAGAATCTTGTGATCAATTATATCAAATGCCTTTGACAAATCAAGAAAAATACCAATTGAGTATTTTCCTTCGTCAATTGCTTTGGTAATTTTATCGGTAAAGTCAATTAATGCATGTTCTGTCGATCTATTTTTTCTAAACCCATATTGATGTTTTGTCTTTCCTCATAAGTCTTTCCAGCAATTTAGAAAAACAAACAAGAACTGATATTGGTCGGTAATTTTTAAATTTCATTACATCATTAGCCTTAAAAATTGGTGTAATCAATGCAACTTTGAGATTATCTGGGATAATTCCAGTTGAGAATGATAGGTTGAATATATGTGTTAATGGTTTAGATATTTCTTTAGCTATTAATTTTGCAATGTTTGAACTAATTCCATCATATCCACAACTTTTGTTTGACTTTATATTTATCAGTTCTATTTCAAGTTCATTTTCTGTGATAGGATTAAGAAAGAAACTGGATTGATAACTACCTTTGAGATATTTTTCAAAATTATTATTGTCATTGTGCTTAATCTTATTGGCCAAATTAGGTCTAACATTAATAAAGTATTCATTGAAATTGTTAGCAATTGTTTTCGGGTCATCTATCGATAAACGTTTTCGATAGTGTGGTATTTTTCTTTGGCTTATTTAGTAATTCGTTTAATGTGTTCCATATCATTTTGGAATTTTGCTTATATTTTATTAATTGTTCCTCATAGTATGTTTTCTTTGATATTTTTATAACATGGTTTAATTTATTTTTGTAATTTTTGTACAATTGTTCATTTTTTCCATTTGAATTCGTAAGGAAGGTTTTGTATAGTTTGTTCTTTTTTCTAACTTACCTTAATATGCAGTTAGTCATCCATGGACTTTTGCTTTTATTTATTTTTTTTGCATTGTTTTGTTTTCTTTTCAGTGGGAAATTCACTTCATATACATCCCCAAACGTTTCCAAAAATTCATTGTAGGCCTTTACTGGGTCATTTGTTTCACTTAATATATTATCCCAGGAAAAATTTTTAATTTCCTTTTTAAAAGCTTCTGTGTTAGTTTTATTAATCAATCTTTGATATGGTACACTTGTTAATTTTTTTGTGGTTGTTTTACTTAAAACATTTGTGTTAAATGTATGCACTATTGGCAAGTGGTCTGAAGTATCACTAAAAATAATACCGTTGGTACTATCCTCAAGTTCTTCCAGATTATTGGTCAAAATATTGTCAATTAGTGTGGCAGTATGATGAGTAATTCGCGTTGGTTTAGTGATCAGCGGGAGAAAAGATGATGTGAACAGTTGTTCAATAAAATTATTGGTATAATCACAAGATTCTGATTTCAAAAGGTGAATGTTGTAATCTCCCATTAAGTAAGAGAGTGTATTTTCTCTGTCTATCTTTTCTAAAATTTCACTAATTGTGTTTTTGAATGTATAAAAATTGTTATTCAATGGTCTATATATTACACCAATAATGAAGTTTTTACCATTATCATTTATTATTTCAATAAATTTGGTTTCATTTATATCTTCTTCTATATTCTCAGATTGTCCCCACAAAAATGGTTTAGAAACGCGCACTTTTTATCCGATTCCCTCTAAACTTTGGCACAGTATTTTCCTTCATCAATTGCTTTGTATTTTTCCTAAACCAATATCAGTGATGTTTTGATAATGTTTTGTTTTTATCAATACATTTTGATACTGATTAGTCGTAAGTCTTTCCAGCAATTTAGAAAAACAAACAAGAACTGATAATGGTCGGTAGTTTTTAAATTTCATTGCGTCATTAGCCTTAAAAAATTGTGTAATCAATGCAACTTTGAGATTATCTGCGATAATTCCAGTTGAGAATGATAGGTTGAATATGTGTGTTAATGGTTTAGATATTTCTTTAGCTAATAATTTTGCAATGTTTGAACTAATTCCATCATATCCACAACTTTTGCTTGACTTCATATTTATCAGTTCTACTTCAAGTTCATTTTCTGTGATAGGATTAAGAAAGAAACTGGATTGATAACTACCTTTGAGATATTTTCAAAATTATTATTGTCATTGTGCTTAATCTAATTGGCCAAATTAGATCCAACATTAATAAAATACTCATTGAAATTGTTAGCTATTGTTTTCGGGTCATCTATTATATTTGACGAGTTTTTTTCGATAAACGTTTTCGATAGTGTGGTATTTTTCTTTGGTTTATTTAGGAATTTGTTTAATGTGTTCCATATCATTTTTGAATTTTGCTTATATTTTATTAATTGTTCCTCATAGTATGTTTTCTTTGCTATTTTTATAACGTGGTTTAATTTATTTTTGTAGTTTTTGTACAATTGTTCATTTTTTCCATTTGGATTCGTAAGGAAGGTTTTGTATAGTTTGTTCTTTTTTCTAACTGACCTTAATATGCTGTTAGTCATCCATGGACTTTTGTTTTTATTTATTTTTTTGCATCGTTTTGTTTGCTTTTCAGTGGGAAATTCACTTCATATACATCCCCAAACGTTTCCAAAAATTCATTATAGGCCTTTACCGGGTCATTTGTTTCACTTAATATATTATCCCAGGAAATATTTTTAATTTCCTTTTTAAAGGCTTCTGTGTTAGTTTTATTAAACAATGTTTGATATGGTACACTTCTTAATGTTTTGTGGTTGTTTTACTTAAAACATTTGTGTTAAATGTATGCACTATTGGCAAGTGGTTTGAAATATCACTAAAAATAATATCGTTGGTATACTATATATCCTCAAGTTCTTTCAGATTATTGGTAAAAATATTGTCAATTAGTGTGGCAGTATGATGAGTAATTCGCGTTGGTTTAGTGATCAGCGGGAGAAAAGATGATGTGAACAGTTGTTCAATAAAATTATTGGTATAATCACAAGATTCTGATTTCAAAAGGTGAATGTTGTAATCTCCCATTAAGTAAGAGAGTGTATTTTCTCTGTCTATCTTTTCTAAAATTTCACTAATTGTGTTTTTGAATGTATAAAAATTGTTATTCAATGGTCTATATATTACACCAATAATGAAGTTTTTACCATTATCATTTATTATTTCAATAAATTTGGTTTCATTTATATCTTCTTCTATATTCTCAGATTGTCCCCACAAAAATGGTTTAGAAACGCGCACTTTTTATCCGATTCCCTCTAAACTTTGGCACAGTATTTTCCTTCATCAATTGCTTTGTATTTTTCCTAAACCAATATCAGTGATGTTTTGATAATGTTTTGTTTTTATCAATACATTTTGATACTGATT